TGCCCACGTCTCCATTGCTCCCTGGGGGTGGGGTGGGGGTGGGGGTGGGGGGGGACATAATTTGCTGGTCCTGGCTTCTTACCTTCTTACATATCCCAGCAGCCTTTGGGAAACATGTGTTGCCTTGTCATCTTTTCCCAGCTCCCATATCCCCTTGATGCCTTGGGTGGGTTATGGGCATATGGGAAGACAATGCTGTCAGAGGAACACTTACCTTCTAATTCTGTCACCCAAGGTGAATGTTGGAGACACTGTCGCGATGCTGCCCAAGTCCCGGAGAGCCCTAACTATCCAGGAGATCGCTGCACTGGCCAGATCCTCCCTGCATGGTATGAACCCCTTCCCATGCCTCTGGCCATTTGGACCTTTTTTACATGCCCTTGGGGATTGTATCCTTTGAGCTCCTGCTGCTATCTCCCTTTTCCTCTCTTTCTCAGGTGAATCCCTTGCCCCTTGCCCCGCCAAAGGCACATGTGGACCCTCACTACCACCACCCTTACGCTTCCCTCCCAGATGTTCTCTGACCCATGCTCTTACCAGGCTTTCTGACTTTGCCTCACCTCTAGGTATTTCCCAGGTGGTGAAGGACCACGTGACCAAGCCCACTGCCATGGCCCAGGGTCGTGTGGCTCACCTTATTGAATGGAAGGGCTGGAGCAAGCCAAGCGACTCTCCTGCTGCCCTAGAATCAGCCTTTTCGTCCTATTCGGATCTCAGTGAGGGTGAGCAAGAGGCTCGCTTTGCGGCAGGTGAGTGACAGAAAGAGAATCAGCCACACATTTGTCCTAGGGATATTCTCTCTCATCTCCTTGGGCCTGATGTGGGGTTTGGAGTCTTTCCACAACCATGTGTCTTCCCTCTCCTGTCTCCAAGCTGAGCCCTAACCTTAGTTCACTTCTGCTAATGAATTCCATGTCTTCCCCAACAGGAGTGGCTGAGCAGTTTGCCATTGCAGAAGCCAAGCTCCGGGCATGGTCTTCAGTGGATGGTGAGGACTCGACCGATGAATCCTACGATGAGGACTTTGCTGGGGGAACTGACTCAGGTGAGGGAACATTCTGTACTAGTACGGCCAACGAGGGTGAAACTGCCTGATAGGCCTTGTGATCCAGAGCTCAGCCTTTGGAAGGGGAGATCCGGAATGTCCTCAGTCTTTGTAAGGAGAGCGGAGAGAGGCAGACTCTGTCCAGGTAATCCTTGACTTTCCACTCTCGTGGGTGGGCAGTCAGCAGGTGGAAATGGAGTAGTTCCTTTCTCTGCCCATCTGTGCAGTTTGGCCTTGCGGCCCTCAAAAAAAAAAAGCCGGAGACCTCGCCAGCACCTTCTGTGCAGCCATGTTGTCTCTCTGGGAGGGTCTGCCGTCCTTGCCCCCGGAAGTCCTCTCAAGACAGCCTCCTGGCTGGTCGAGGCTGCACAGACGCACAGTGCAGCAGCCACAGCACCTGGGGCTGTGGCGCAGGCAAACAGGAAGCTTGCTGAGCCGGGACTGCCCACGGGGCTGCTTGGCTCCAGCCTAGCGTCCCCGCATTCCAGGCTAGTGGACCTTGCTCTCCGCTGATGCTTGCAGAAGGGACCCCGTGGGGCTGTGCAGCTGTGCAAGGCCCTCCTTTCATCTTCCATTCTCGGGACCAAATGGCTGACTTTCTCTGTAGCTTCTGGGCTCAAGCCTCCCAGACCCCCATCCCCCTTCCACCCCTTTGTCTTTGAAGATTGCGTCCACATGCCTCATCCCTTTAGCTAATTAACATTCTCTGAAGTGGGCAGTACATTAAAGCAGCTGAGACTGCTGCTGTGGTCCAGAGAGGACTGATTGGGATGACCGAGACGAAGACAGACCCGATCCACAATGTTTTTGTTTGATTGAGTTCCAGGCCTGCTTTGACCCCTGGTATAATGAAAATAACTGCATTTATCCAAGGCCACTACTAGCCCATGCGGAATCATTGTGCAAATTTGAAAAAAGTTCTCCTTTTCCTGGTGGGCACAGCCCCATGCCAGGGCATGCTGCTTGGTGAGCAGAATGTGGTCTGAATTACACTTACTGCCTTGCACACACTCCCCGTGGGCAGTGAACAGCCTGCACGACATGTAGGGTGTCCCTGCATTTATTGCTTTCTTACTATGTGCCAGACTGTTCTCTCAGCAACCCCATAAGGTAGGTATGTAAGAATCCCCAGTTCACCATTAAGGAAATTGAGGCAGAGAGGTTAAGTGACTTGTCTGAAGTTCCCTGGGTCCTACCCCCACTCCCTAGAGCTGTGCCAAGTGGGGAGATGTGGCTTCCAGGTTGGCCAATTGAGATGGGGCTAGCAGGGTTATCTTCTTTTCTCTCCCCCAACAGACATGGCTGGGCAGCTGCCCCTGGGACCCCACCTCCAGGACCTCTTCACTGGCCACCGATTTTCCCGGCCTGTGCGCCAGGGCTCCGTGGAGCCTGAGAGCGACTGCTCGCAGACAGTGTCCCCAGAGACCCTGTGCTCTAGTCTGTGCAGCCTGGAGGACGGGTTGCTGGGCTCCCCGGCCCACCTGGCCTCCCAGCTGCTGGGTGAAGAGCTGCTTCTTGCCAAACTGCCCCCCAGCCGGGAAAGTGCCTTCCGCAGCCTGGGCCCCGTGGAGGCCCAGGACTCGCCCTACAACTCGCCCCTCACAGAGTCCTGCCTTTCCCCCGCCGAGGTGGAGCCAGCCCCCTGCGAGGACTGCCAGCCGCTCTGCCCGCCGGTGGGCAGCTGGGAACGCCAGCGGCAAGCCTCTGACATGGCTTCTTCTGGGGTGGTGTCCTTAGAGGAGGATGAGGTGGAGCCAGACGAACAGTGACGCAGATCATGCCTGGCGGTGGCACAGCCGCTGTGCCCAGTGTGGGCTTGAGGCTTCCAGCAGAGCTCCAAAGCCTGGGGGGCTCCTGGGAGCACTCACTCCTCATTGTGTGTTTTGCATGAAAGTGTCTAGAGAGGAGGCGGGGACCAGGCTGGGGGCGCATGTCCAGCCCCCACTCCTGGGGCTTGCCGGGGGTTGCCCGGGGCCCCTGGGGCATGGCTACAGCAGTGGCAGAGTGATGTTCATGTTCTTAAATCAAAAACGCCACATATTTCCTCCTCTGATGATGTGAACCTCTGAGGGGCAGTTATGACTGGGCTACGGGGGTTGGAATGGGAGGGAGCCCGGCCTCCCCTGCCCCTCCCCCGCCTCGCCCCTCTGCTTCTCTCCTCACCTCCAAGTCCGTGTACCGTGCTTGATAGAATCACCCCACCCAGGGAGCCTACGGATTGAGCCGTCCCCCAGGTCCCTTTCCCAGCTGGGCTCATCCTGTGCTACACCTCTCCGTCGTCTCTAAATCTTTTTTGTAAAGAAAGAGGGGTTTTGGTCTGTTCTTTCAGTCGGATCTTCTCTGGGAGGCATTGGAATGATGAAAGCGTGCACCCCCACCCTTTTCCTGGCCGCTCTGAGGGGTCTGGGCCCTTTCCCAGTCCCTTGTAGGATGTGTGGGCAGGGCCCCGGTGGCTCCCAGCCCACCAGGTTGCTGTAGGGTGGAGTTGGAAGAGGACAGGGCTCTGGTAGCTACAGAGCTGGGACTTCGATGTTCTTCCAGAGAGGGCCACCAGGGGGCCACACGGGTGGCCCTGAGCAGGGCAGGAATTGTGCCAACGGGTGACAGTCATGAGGGAATGCCTCTCCTTGGGGAGGAAGGAGGGCAGTGCCTTTTTGGCCGAAGGAAAGGCCGAAGCTACAGTACTGGGGGCAGCCAGGGTGTTGATGGCCAAGCAGTGGAGGCCTCTGCAGATCCTACACTCCATGGACAGCAGGCTCTGGAGTTTTATGGCCATGGGGTATAGGTGGCTAGATTTCAGGCCTTGTCGGCTTTGGCAGGTAAGAGGGCCCAAGGTAAGAACACGAGCTGATGGGCACAGGCATTCTCTATATAAGTGGCTCATTAGGTGTTTATTTTGTTCTATTTAAGAATTTGTTTTATTAAATTAATATAAAAATCTTTGTAAATCTCTATATACATCTGGTCATTGGAGGTTCCAGTATAAACCCATCTTAGTTGTACCCCTTTCCCCCGCAAAGGGGCAGCAGGGGTCAGGTACCCCGCCCCATCCCCATCCCACCAGGGCAGTGCTGATCTTCCTGCCCTTGGAACACTGCAGGTGGGTGCTGTGTCAGATTCCAAGCAGAGGCTGGTGCCCCTGGTCTGGATGGGGGGCTGGGGCCCCAACCTTTGGCTGTAGCTGCCTCCTGCTTTCCCACGGCAGAAGGGACAGGAGAGCTGTAGGACCCGGGCTGACAGCAAGGCCACTGCCACCCCAGGCCGCCTGCTGAGGAATTCACTGGCACTTGTCATCGCTGTCAGAAGGGCTGCCCTCCCCGGGGAGGCTGTGGCGGGAGTGGGGCCCCCAGAGTGCATGCACCTCCGTCGTCTCTGTGTCACTGCTGCTGGTGGCACTATCACGGAAGCTGGCGAGGGGTGGCCGGACTTTCACGCCCTGTGCTGTGACAGAGCCCTCAATAGCTTTCCGGAGCTGGAAAGGTGAGAGGGTCAGTCTGGGCTCCCTGCTCGTACTCTCCAGCCCTTACCCCCAGGTGAGCTGGGCATAAGCTTCCATGCCTTTTTGGAAGTGGAAGTGGCTTTGACAGCCACTATCATCTTACCTCCTTTAGGGTAACGATCCCAATGAGTCTGCCAATACTGGTGACGTAAGCATGGTCCACTCCCAGGAGTGAGAAGATGGTGTGAGTCTACAGGGTGGGGAGAAGAACATTGGACTTTATGCACAAGGGGAGAGGGGCCCAGGAGGAGGTGTTGGGTTGGGGGCAGGATAGAGGGGGTGCTACAGATGGTGGGGGAGGGGGAAGGCCAAAGTGTAATGAGATTGTACAACCAATCTTCAGAAACTTGATAGTGAGAATCTTTATGTGGATGAGAAACAGGAAGGAATCTTCATCCCATGTTAGCAAGGAGAATGGAGGAGAGAAAAGCTGTTCAAATATGACACCTAATGATTGGCCAGGCACCTGGCTAAGTCTTACATTAATCAGCGTTTAATTTCATCACAGTCCTGAGAAGTCTGACACCCATTCTACAGGACAGGCAGCATGAGGCTCAGCGGTGCAGTGACTTGCTGGGTGGGGGGTCATCAGTAAGAAGTGGCCCAGCAGCTCCAGGCCACTTTTCAGTACACTCACAGTGGTTCTCAACCTTGTGGCCCTTTAAATACAGTTCCTCATGTTGTGACCCCCAACCATAAAATTATTTTCGTTGCTACTTCATAACTGTAATGTTGCTACTGTTATGGATCATAATGTAAATATCTGATATGCAGGATGGTCTTAGGCGACCCCTGTGAAAGGGTCGTTCGACCGCCAAAGGGGTCGCGACCCACAGGTTGAGAACCGCTGCCCTAGGAGGAGGCACTACCTAGTGGGCCTAGGCGTATGTCCGATTAGTCATGGATATATCCAGGAGGGAAGTTCCACACGCCCCTTAGGGGTACTGGCCCTGAATCCTGTTCTTCTTACCCCACCTGGGTGGCTGACACGTGCTTCCCCTTTGCCCTCAGCTGGCTGAACATGTAAGGTATCCCTCACCCTGGCCCCGACCCCCCCATTATTGGCCTGCCACACTCTATATGTCTCTCACAGTTTGACTTTTCTGGGGCCCAAAGCATCCCAGGTCTTGTTGACATGTAGCTTACCGTCCAAGGGCCAAGAGTACCCCCCAACCCCCATGTTTTTTTGCTTTGGACCCTTCCCCCAGGGTTTCCAGTGTAATCAGCCAGGGTTCAGAAATTGTCAGCTAGCTCCCCTTGTGCTCCAAGTGGATTTTCTTGGGCCAGATGTCTTGAAAAAACACTCTACTGACTCAGCAGTTCCTGGAATTTTTGGCCTATCAGTTATTGCACTGTTTATAGTTTACTTGTAAGCCTCTTGGCTTAATGCTCGAATTGAAATGGGCATTACTACCCCAGCTTCTTGAGTACCAGCTACTCAGAAATCATTGTAATGATCTTAACACTTTAAAAATGTTTTCTTATACAGCTGCTGAATTCTTTAGGAAAGAACTTCCTGAACTTTCCTAACTTCCTCCTTCTAAGGCATGACAGTACTTATAAAAGGAGGTGGAAGTGTAGTTTTAGCATAAGTTTTTCTGTGCTCCTTTAATACCCATGTCATAACTGTCATTGTTTAGCAAGTCCCTTGAATCCTACATGCTACACATTATCTTTAATTTCCTCATCTGATTTCATTGGGAAACATATCATAATAAGATTTCCTGTATTGTCCTGCTGGTGTGGCTCAGTGGTTGAGCGTCAACCTATGAACCAGGAAAGTCATGGTTCGATTCCTGGTCAGGGCACATGTACATGTCTGGGTTGTGGGCTCAATCCTCAGTGTGGAGTATGTAGGAGGCAGCTGATCAATGGGTTCTCTCTCATCACTGATATTTCTATTGCTCACTCTCTCCCTTGCTTTCTGAAATAATATATATCCTATCTAATAAAAGACAAAAAGGGTAATTAACCATACCTCCGCTACGCTTCCCATTGGCTACTCAGCGAGATATGCAAATTAACTGCCAACAAAGATGGCGGCTGGCAGCCACGCAGCTGAAGAGAACATGAAGCTTGCTTGCTCCAGTGATGGAGGAAGCCAAGGTTCCCCGAGTGCCACGGCCCAGCTCTGAGCTTCAGAAGCAATAATGTTGCAATTATAGAAGGTAAATAAATCCCAGGATAAAAGAAAAAAAGGAGAGGCTGGGAGCTTCAGTCACCCTATTTTTCTTTATAATGAACTAGAGGCCCAGTGCACAAAATTTGTGCACTTGGGGGGAGTCCCTCAGCCTGGCCTGTGCCTTCTCGCAGTCTGGGAACTCTGGGGGGATGTCTGACTGATGGCTTAGTGGGCCTAAGCATTGCCCTTAGCATTGCCACGGAGGCGGGAGAGGCTCCCACCACTGCCACTGTGCTCGTCAGCGGTGAGCCCAGCTTCTGGCTGAGCAGCGCTCCCGCTCTGGGAGCACTCTGACCACCAGGGGGCAGCTCCTGCATTGAGTGTCTGCCCCCTGGTGGTCAGTGCGATCTTAGTGACCCAGTCATTCCACCATTCGGTCATTTGTATATTAGCCTTTTATTATGTAGGACAATGGAATATGCACAAGTAAATCTGTTTAATCTGCAAAGACCTTTGGCCTACCTGGCTCTGTGTTTAGACCTGGACCTAACTACGTATTGATTATCCTCCTTGCTCTCACCTTTTCCAAGAAAAGGAATGGCTGGCCCAGCATGTTGGCTTTTATTTATTTTATTTTTTTTAAATATATTTTATTGATTTTGTACAGAGAGGAAAGGAGAGGGATAGAAAGTTAGAAACATCGATGAGAGAGAAACATCAATCAGCTGCCTCCTGCACATCTCCCACTGGGGATGTGCCCGCAACCCAGGTACATGCCCTTGACCGGAATCGAACCTGGGACCCTTCAGTCCACAGGCTGACGCTCTATCCACTGAGCCAAACCGGTTTTGGCTATATATATAATTTTAAAAAAAGATTTCCTGTATTATTAGTCCACTGGCTTTGTCTTCTTATGTTTAATAATCCATCTCATCCTCTCTCAAGGATCCTATTAAATCGTTCCCCTAAAGTTTCCATAATCCTAATCAGAGTGAGCTTCTGATAAGCTATATGCCTTTTGGGTTTGCAAACCACTTGTCCTGGGGAGTCACCAAGCCTTACTGATCTACCTCCTGAACATCCTGGCAATTCTTCCTGGCTCCCTCACCATCCTATCAGGATGGGACTGTAACATCTTTTTTTTTTTTTTTTTGTTTAT